AATATCCATTCCCTTTGTTGTACCATGGAGAGGAATAAAATCAAGCATCTCCTCTGTTACACTGAAGTAGTTTTCAAGTTCGGATGAAAATTACAAGCTGGCTAATGTCGGACAGATCAGTGCTTTCGTCCAAACATAGCGAATAGTTATTTACTTAACTTACACTGCCGTTGCGTGCGGTAAAGTATCACTTTCCGCATTTGTTAGGTACAAAATTTTACCTATGAGCATCTACATCTCTAAAAAAAGGCATTAATGAAATTAATTAATGAATCAGATTAATTAATGAAATTAGATTAGATTTAGAAATGATCAAAAATCCATTTTCTGAAAAAGGAAGGATTTTTAATCATAAATGCCAAAGTCTACTTTACCGCATACTATGCAGTAAAGTTCCACTTTCCATTTGCAAATAAGTGCGGTGAAGTACGGTAAGTGCACTTTACCGCATATTCTAAAATCAAAAATGAAAAAATAATGCGGTGGCGTCTGGAACTATCACCTTATAAATATGACATTATACAGATCTGAAAATCGAAATATCGTGGTAGATACATTTTCAAGAATATCTTCTGCGATTTTATCTTCTTCTAGTGACAAAACATTATATAATCTACATAATTCTCTCTGTCATCCTGGTATAACAAGACTCTATCACTGGGTCCGATATAAGAATCTACCTTTCTCACTAGACGATATCAAGAGAATTTCAGCCACCTGTCCCGTTTGTGCTGAGATCAAACCAAGGTTTCATAGACATCAAGGGACCATCATTAAAGCTACTGCCCCTTTCGAAAGAATAAATGTAGATTTTAAAGGTCCATTGCCATCTGAGAACCAAAACCGCTATATTTTGACTATTGTGGATGAATTTTCTAGATTCCCATTTGGCTTTGCTTGTCCTGATATGACCTCATCAACTATCATAAATTGCTTAACTCAACTTTTTGCTGTTTTTGGGACACCATCATACCTGCATAGTTATAGAGGGACATCATTTATGTCTGAAGAACTGAAAATATTCTTAATACGACATGGGATTGCAACTAGTCGCACTACTCCTTATAACCCACAAGGAAACGGTTAGTGTGAACGGTATAATGGCATTATATGGAAAACCATTCAGTTAGCTCTAAAATCAAGAAACATGGATATAAGACATTGGCAGCAGGTTTTGGTCGACTCTTCACAGTCAATAAGGTCTTTGTTATGTACAGCAACAAATTGTTCACCGCATGAAAGAATGTTCTGTCATCCTCGAAGATCTACAAATGGTTCTTCAATTCCAACCTGGTTGAGTATTCCTGGTCCAGTCTTCCTAATAAAGCATGTAAGACAACGCAAGTATGAACCAATCGTGGAAGAAGTGCAACTCCTAAAAGTTAACTCTGATTATGCTCACATCAGATTAGCTAATGGTAAAGAAACAACTGTGTCAACACGCCACCTTGCGCCAAGAGGAGATTCTGTTCTGCATCAAGAAACGTTAAATGAAGATATGAATGTAGAATGTAGATAATATAGAAACGAACCTAATGATCAAAATAACGACCAATGTAGTGAACCAGATCCCATTCACAACGATTCTGATGCTGGAAATCTTGATGGGATACCTGTAACACCATTAAGGAATCTCGGCGATGAAGTTGTAGAAAATATAACTGACTATCCCTTGAACCGACCAAAATGTCAAAAGAATCCTCCTGTCTTGAAAGAATATAAAACCGACTAGGGGCGAATGTTATATATTTAGAAACTTTTAAATGTCCTGTATTTCATATCTTGTTACCTTTACTATTTGTCAACCTTGACAGTTTGTCAATGTTAGTTATATGCTCTGTATATTAATATTCTGAGTTTATTAAAGCCTGTATTTTAGAGGTTTTACTTCACTTAGGCAGAACCTTCTTGCTTTCACCTCAAATAAATCCAAAATGCCTTAAAGTATTTACGACTGCCATGAACTCAAACTCATAGGAATGGTATCTTTGCTGTTATTTTGTCATTTGTTTGGAATAATATATAACTGGCTTCAAGGTACCTACCATTCGCTTGTTGTTGAAACAGAATTCCTCCTATGCCCCATTGGAAAGCATCAGTGTGTACTTCTGTCCGTAATTCTGAATCGTATATTGTTAGTACAGGTCTCGATACTGAAATTTCTTTAAGAGTATTGAAAGCTCTACTTTGTTCAATATTTCAATCAAATTTAGCTTATTTTTTGGTCAGAAAAGTTAGAGGTCTAGCGACTATAGCTAAGCTCCTCACGTACTTCATGAAATAACCAGAGAGACCCAAAAACTGACGAACAGATCGAACATCTGAGGGGACTGGAAAATTACGAGCTACTCCAGTTTTACCTTTTCCTGGCTGCGCTCCCTCTTTAGTAACTTCATGACCTAAATATTCGACCCTTTCTTTGAAAAAATGATATTTTAACAAACGTAATGAACAGCTGATGCTCGAAACACCTCTCTTAGAATTGTATCAAAATCCTTGCTTGGCAACAAAATATCATCCATGTATGCAATGGCCTTTCCATACCTCAAATTTCCTAAGACTTTATTCATAGTTCGCTGAAATATTGCAGGCGCATTACATAAGCCAAATGGGACCCTAAGGTACTCGTAGTGGCCATCTGGCTTAATAAAAGCGGTCTTTGAGATGGATGACTTCTATTTCAATCTGGTGATAAACACTCGCCAGATCTAAGTATGGAAATATTGACAACCCAATCTTTGCAGTTGTAACATCTAAATGGTTTAGGTTTTAATTGTTTGGAAGATCTTGGAGCGACAATACGTTTGTGCGCTTTTCGTTGGAACACACCCAAACGCAGACGTTCTTCAACTGGCTTTGAGGTAAAAGGTGTTGGTATTTCTGGTGCGAGTGAGGACAGATACTAAGCATATAGTTGATCGGGTGTCACATACCTTCCCGCTCTAGCTCCTGCCTGAATACTTGCGCCAGGAATACCATCGATGACTCATGACACTGCCTTTTTGCCAGTTACTTCACAGGCACTGATTAGCTCCATCTTGTCAAAATAATACCGATCCCAGGATTCTTCGCGTAACTTGAATCGATTTACAAGAGCTCGCAATGTCACGGCAAAGTCTTGATATATAATTAAAATTTCTTTCCATTCAGTCCAAGAAAATTGATATGAGGGTAGATTGTCATACCATCTTCTGGCCAGCCCACCTAGACGATTTTGCATTACAAAAACCATGGTGGTGTCGTCCCAATCATTAACAGTACCCAACTGCTCAATCTCATCAATCCATTTCGTGGAACTTAAATTTGGGTGTCCTGGGGTAAATATGGAAATACATTAAGGTTTTGCCAATATTTGACCTCTTCTGGATTTGGTGACTTATAAGTTTCTCGACTAATGCTTCTCATGTACCAACTTTATTGCCAGTGGGAGGTGGTATATAACTACGGCTTGTAGGTACTTGGCTCTGTGTGGAGTTTTGGAAGTCTTGAATTTTTGACTCCATCTGGAGCAGCCCTAATTAACGGATGTGTATGTGAGAGAAGCCAATCTCAGGAACGTTATAGCACCAGGCCAAAATCTTTAATCCGGAAATCCACTGGATACAAGGGAAAGCACAATAGGTCTAATCAGGTCGCAGAGCGGAGAGGTTCATTACCTAAACACCCCAAACATTACAATCTACAATCTATAGATGATACAATTTCATAGTTTTCTGGAAATTTTTCATGGCTTCAAGTGATTCTTTGGGACCGCTTTGAATCCACACTATCATATCATGTACGAAAAGTTCATTCTCAGCTTTCTTACTTGCAGACGTAGTAACTTAGTTATTACACATTTGACCAAAAATTAGTTGCTTTTTCTATTACATAAAAAAAAACACCATTCATCCAGAAACCATCAATCTTAAAAAAAAGTCTTTTCCAGGCGCCATAAACATAAATTCATCCAGGCAGGCAGGTGGTCATTGTTGATCTTTCCCTGATACGAACAATTTTTTATTGTTAGGTTCGAGAAATATTTATAAGATTCTCATTTTTGTCGACGGCTAAACTTAATAAACGTTTGCGTCCCCCAAAATCCAATTATAATAACGACGTGGGTCTCGGCGAATTTTTTTTTACGTGTAGATATTCTTCGTGGGGTCTGTTTTATGTCGCCGGGGTTGAGATCCTTTTGAGGCAGACGACGATATAATTTTAATTTTTTTTAGGAGGATATCGATCGATATGTTGGTAATAACAATTTTGGCTAATATTGAACGTTAGCTAAAAAATTAAAATCTTCATTTTCATTGTATGAAAAGAACATACATACATCTTAAGAATTACACAAAATACATGGATACCTATATAGCTACCTATATGTTGACGTATTTTATGATAAATTACTCGACAATAATCAATCATGTTGGGATTGATGGCGCAAGAAAAATTCTTAAAAACAAGTTGATAATGCATTTCGGATGTAGATATGTATTTCTAGAAAAATAACCCAAAGAAATTTCATATGATCGTAATGTCAAGGTAACATTTTATGGAGGGAAATGTAACGTTGCCAAAGAGATCTAACAATGTCCATTAGGTCACTTTATTCTGTCAGCAGGCGAGTTTTTGTTTTTGACCATTTTATAACTTATGGTTCTGATAATAATCTTTTAACAAGATTCATTGGATGAGAAGTTTCTTATTCCTAAGCTAGATCAAAGTTTTTAAATTATTGTGCAATCAAATAAGTTCACTGCACGTACCTAATTGATTTTCGTTTGGGTTTTATGAATTTTTAATTATTTCGCCCCAGTTTACTAATCGTGAGGTTTACTACATACAAATAAGTAGGTTTGAAACACTTTACTCAGGTAAGGTGATGGTTCAGAACTATGATAGTTATACTACTACAAAAGAATTTTCTCCAGGGCTTGAACGCCACATTGAAACTATATGTTCCTCGAAATCATGAGTTTCCAAATTTATCTTATTGATTTCATTATTTGTTTCAGATAAGCTCAAAACAATGTTAGAAGAACACCTTTAAATGCACGAATGATCAACCAATCATCGCCATCCAGTGTCGTTATAAATAATTAACCGGTCCCGGTCATGTAGGAACGAAAAATGTCCAGCGCGGGGTTTCTGGTTGTCGTGCTAGTGCTCCTCGTAACGTGTTCGGTGGCCGAACTGGCAACCGAGTTCGCGGAAGCCAGCGAAGGCAGCACGGCGAATTTACCGTGCACTCTGGTAGCCAGTGACTATCCGGACAAAATCAGTAACATTTTGTGGTACCGCGGCGAAGAGGAATCGCCGATTTACAAGTACGAAGCGCGCGGCTCGTATCCGCAACACACGGCCGATCCTGTTCTACAAAATCGGTATTTTTTAAGAGTGGCCGGTGACCAGGCGTTGTTGACGATATCGCCAGTGAAAAATTTGGACGAGGGTTTGTTTCATTGTAGAGTGGATTTTCTGCGGTCGCCTACGAAGATTACACATGTTAACTTGACTGTTATAGGTGAGTACCTTTATCTTAAATTATTATGTAATCTAGGTACTTCAATTTCACACTATTATCGCACAAGTACGAAAATGATATTGTAAACTATACAATTTGATATTGCTCGGTGCAACTAGGGGCTTGGGATGTTAACACAATAAGTTCCGAAACATTGAGAAAAAAGTTTAACAAATAAAAGTGAAAAGGTATATGATTGAGTGATGAGAATACTAAACAGAAGGAATTGATTTATTTTGTACTTGAAAACCATGCTTCTGTAGTCAAGGCTCGTAGTACTAATTATGCCGTCGATTCAAAAACCTATTTTTGTTGATTCTAGATTGCATTTGGAGGTTGTTCCAGTGACTCAAGCACTGTTTCTAGTTGGTGTCCAAGATTTGTAGGCAAATAAAGTGCCCACCTCTTAGGGTGTTACTTTTTGGGTGCTCCAAAATATCAGAATCGTTACTGTCTTGTGAAGACAAAGAACTTTCTTGAAAATTAGGATTGACAAAATATGGAACCACTGAAGAATGATTGTCAACAGGAGCCAAACGTTTTAGTGGAATGTTTTCTTTATCAATAAACTGGTTTTTATTTTCATGGCAAAAGTTTCTTCTTATGCAGTTAACATGTCTTCTGTAACATTTATTTTTTTTACCGCTGATTTCGTAAGAAACAGGGCTGGGATCAAGAAAAGTAGAATTCTACTAGAATACTTATTTCATGACGTCAAGTTGCCTAGCAATCGTCATCATCGCCTGTAATGTACGCGATAAATAGGTCGCATCAGGTGACGTCATTAAAGTAGAGTTCTACTTGTCGTGATCCCAGCCCAAGACCGATTTTTCATAGTAAAACTCTCGTTAGCTATACGTCTTCTCCGTAAAAATTTTAAAAAAATACTCTTTCATTTTCTTCAAATTCTTGAAAATTCTTATCCAAATTTTCTCGTTCTTTAACACACCCTAACTTTTGGAAAGATAACTAAGGAATATCATGTGATATGAGTGGTTCTTTTACATTAGCATATCTATATCTTTCACACAACAGACACTGCCGAATTTCCTTATCAATATCTATGCTCATTCCAGGCCAGAATAATACACTCCGTGCCCTATCTCTTGTACGATTTATGCCAAAATGATCTTCATGTAGTACTTTTAGCATATTTTTACGCAATAATTGAGGAACCACCACATAATGAGATTATTATTTTGATACAAATCAGGTCTTAAGATGTAAAAAATTCCCAATTCTCTTTCATATTTTTTTATTTTCCCAACCATTCAAACAACATTCAATAACTTCACTCAATACTTCATCCTTTATCGTTTCTTTTCTAAACTGTTCTTATCTTCTTTCACTCATTCGCATTCATATTTCTAAATTGAATTTACTATTTCTTCCATATCCTCATCATCTTCCGCCATTTTACTACTTACATAATCTGCAATACTTATATATCGCCCAGGCTAATAACTAACTTGTAAATCATATCTTAATAATTTTACCTTCAACCTCTGTAATCGGGACAAATCTATTGAGGATATCTGGGTGTTCATAACACTTGTAGCAAAACGCGCCCAAGTACTCTATTCAATTAGTTAGATGGTAACTGGCGAGCGGTATATTGATGGTGTTTATTTTCTTGAGCGGCTACCTATAAAATTGTGGAGGGGGTCTATTCGCAAAAGAGAGAAACAAACTATTGAGGTTTACTAAATTATATTTTATTATACTTAAAACCAAAATTAAAATAAAGCAAATATCTTTCTATGTCTGACAGCCACTTCAGCGGCACTAAAAGTACTTCTATTGTTGCTGCGGTTGCCTAGCAGCATAGAAGTTAAATTTCTACCAACTCGACAGGTATTAACTCGCTGGATTTGCTTAGCAGCATAGAAATCAAATTTCTGACATCTTGACAGGGGTTAAAGTGACGTTTTTTTGACGTTCGGAGAAAAAATATTAAAGCTAGGTGAGGATATTTATTTTTATTTATCATTTACTTGTTGATGTTCAGTTTATTCTTCTACCTTCAGTTTCTTCTAGTTTTATTATTAAACATCTTCAAATATATTTCTGAGTGAGCCATAAATAAAAATACATAACCTTGAAATTCTGCTTAAGTTGGTAGAATTTTTTATTGTCGTTTGTGTTGTCAACAAGCTGATCCGGTGTAAAGCGAAGTTGAGCCATTGTTGAGCCAACATAAATTGGCAAATAAATTGACAAACAAATTGATCAATTTAAATTGTCAGTGTAAAACTAGCATAATGAATAATTTCAATGCAGCTTCAATAATTTTGCAGCTGTAAAGCTTCAAAGTTTTTTGACTACGATTTTTGTCAGGATGAGAAAGCAGAAGTAAATTTTAAATTTTTTACCCAAGTTTCGATCTTTTTTCTATCCAAATACAAAATCTCAATCCAATCCCTCAAACATTTTCCTCAAGAAAAATAAAACGTCCATTAATGTAATTTTTTGGAAATTTGAACTTTCCCAAAATGTCACCAACACACATTTTGTTTGACAACTTTGTTAATTTCAATCCGATCCTAACGTAATGAGGCTTAAATTAAGGCCAATTAAATTCTCTACAAATTTCCAGTACATAATTTCAATCCAGCTTCAATAGTTTTGCAGCTGCAAAGCTTCACTACGATTTTTGTCAGGATGAGAAAGCAGAAGTAAATTTCAAATGTTTTACCTAAATTTCGATCTTTCCTCTATCCAATTGCAAAATTTCAATCCAATCCCTCAAATATTTTACTTGAAAAAAAAAATAAAACCTGCCTCATGTAATTTTTTGGAAATTGAATTTTCCCAAAATGACACCAACATACATGTTGCCTCACAACTTTGTTAATTTCAATCGGATCTAAATGTAATTGAGCTTTAATAAAAGCCAATTAAATTTTCTGCAAGTCTTTAAAAAATAATTTCAATCCGGCTTCAATCGTTTTGCTGCTGCAAAGCTTCAAAGCCTTCCGACTATGATCATCTGGAGTTCAAACGAACTATAAAACTGTTAATTTCAAAAAATTCAAGAATTTCTTGTGAATTTCTTGCTTTCTAAACAAGAAATCTTGATCTTGAAATAGGGAACCTTGACTTGACTTGAAAACAGTTTCAGATTTCTTGACTTGAAATTTTCTTGAATTCAAGTCAAGAACAAGAAATCTCTTTAACATGGTGAAAACCTAGTCATTTACCCCTAGTATTATTTTATCTATTAAAATACTGTCTTCCTGAGTATCATACAAGTTTGAATCAATCTTTTCAGTTCACTGAAAAAGGGATCAAACAGCTGTTCTGGCTCCTGAATAGTTGTTATATTTTTTTGACAACTGTCAACTGACAACTAACGTTAATGACTATTACTACAGGTATCAAATTCTGGGAATTTTATTAGGTCAACCACCATTTATGAGCTAGTAGTAAACCTTGGATAAAACTGGATCCTCTCGGATATGAAATGCAATTTCTTTTGCTGAAACCGGAGGTTCTTCCATACTTTCTAAAAGTGATACATCCAATGGAGGTAAAGCGATATCATTCAAGAATAATGGTAGGCGACTTTTCGAGTTTTTCCAACTATGATTATGTTATCGAGATATGCTTGACAACCTTCCAAATTTTGTAATAACACGTCCATAGTTCTTTAAAATATGGCAGGAGCTGCAGCAATACCAAATTGTAGTCTGTTAACCTTGAATAAACCTTTTGGAGTGTTAAATGTCATAATCATAGCGGTATCATTATCAACTGTCAGTTGTTGATAGGCTTGATGTAAATCTAATTTTGTAAAATGAACTCCTCTAGATAATATTGTACACATTTCTTTAACCGCTGACAGAGGGTAGACATTATTTTTTGCATTTTTTATCATCATACTATTTTTTGCAAAGAGAACATCCTTGGGTATCTCGGATATGCCAGCTCGTCTAATGAAACTTGACACAAGGCCTTGACCATATCTACGATAGCATCTCCATCTAAACGGGTTGACCCAGTGAAAATTCTGTCAACTGCAACCACTACGCTTTGAGAGCTACTTTGGCCTATGTGCTCCTTATAACTAGGATCAGATGGTTTGTAGTCAGGGCACGAAAGGAACTTAGGCCTCACCCCAGTACTAATCAACTGAGCCAGCTCCAATTATATCCAACCACGAAGGAACCAAATAATTCCCATCTGTATGCGCAACCATAATCAAGGATTTCAAAGATTTTTATGATCTGATGAATTACTATTAATTTCAACAGTATTCATTCCCAATGGAGAAAATCAATTACGTCCAAGTAAATTTTGGCCATTTTTCCCAATAATTGCAGGTAAAGTACGATTATATTTTCCAAAAATTACCTGAAAGTTAGCTTCACCCAAATTGTCAATTTTTCTATTAGAATAATCACGTAGATAAAATTCTGTTTCATTAAGTTGTTCTAAAGAACCATCTAACATTAATTTTCGATAAACATCTTCAGTAAGTAATGTTCTTGAAGCGCCCGAATCAACTTCCATCTTAATAAATTTCCCATTAATGCAAATTTCCACGAAATATTTTCTATCTTCTTCAATATTGACTTCAAAAACATCATAAAAATTTGATTTTTTTATTCTCACATTCCATCTCAACTTCATTTTCTTTGCATAAGTTTCATTTCTGGATTAATTTTATTAGCATTTTTAATTGTATTGATCTCAGATGAAGACTGGAAATTTTTTAACTGCTTCAATTGTGTTTGTGATTGTTCTCTGGTCACCGCTTTATTATAGTCTGCTTGAAAAGTGATATCAATCAATCATTTATTTATGTCAACATCACAAAGCGATTTACACACGTCAAATCAAAATATCAAAATATAAATCTAATACATAGGTACTTAAATACATTATAACAAGTTACAAGATACATTTCAAACACTATAACTATGACAATACATTATTAAAATCAAAATTTAAAAACTCTGCAAATGAATAGAAACAATGACATATTAAAATTTGCTTCA